ATCGTGAAGACGGGCAGGACTGAGCAGTCTCCTGTTAGGGTGTGCAGAGGGTCACTGTGGACTGTAACTGACTTGATGGGACGTAACAACAACAGTTGTGTAACAGGTAAAGAAGACTGAATCAGGTAATAGTCAAATTAGATGAAAACAGTACAATAGCTAATGTGTTTCAATATACTGACAAGCAGACTTATATACCAGGGAAGAGCTTAGTGGCTGAATTGTTGACAATACACTGAACAGCAAATAACAAATACAAACAACACAAAAACAAGAAAGACTATTATTAACTCAAAAGAACAAAATGTCATAGAGAAAATGAAAAAGTCATCAGTTATGAATAAACATTTATATAGTCATGATACGTAAATACTAAAAATTGATCTAACCTAAATTATGGAATAATTGGGTGGTGGGAAATACAAATGTGCATGTCATGGATTGAACTGTATTCCTCCAAAATATGTGTCAGCTTGGCTGGGTTGTGATTCTGAGTGGTGTGGCAGTTATGTGATGATCCCCTATCATGTGGTAAACCAGTAAGAGAAAAAGGGTGGGTTGTAATACCCTTAATCCCATCTCAACTCTGATCAGATGTCAGGGAGTTTCCCAGAGGTGTGGCCTGCAACCCTTTTAATTGACAAAAGATAAACGGAGAAAGAAGGAACGGAGAAGGGTGACCTAGTACCACCAAGAAAGACGAGTTGGGATGGAGTGTGTCCTTTGAGTCTAGGATCCCTGCTCCTAGACTCACGCAACACTGATGCCATGATGAATAAAAACCTACAAGGAACACTAGGCCTATAAATGCTAAAGGAGACAAGGCCCTTTCCCCAGACCCAACAAAGAGAACAAGTCTTCCCCTAGAGCTCGCATTCTGAATTTGGACGTCTGCCCTCCTAGACTGTGAGAGGATAAATTTTTGTTTGTTAAAGCTACCATTTGTTTTATTTCTGTTATAGCAGCAACAGATAACTAAGATAACAGGCTATAGGGCAGGGTATGTGTGTGTGAGAGAGAAATAAATTGCTGTCTTTAATGGAGAGTCAATATAAAATACCTACAATTGAAAAACCAGCAAAAGGTAATATAAGCATATTTAGAGAAATGGTGAGGCCGGGTGTGGCATTGTGGGTTAATGTGCTGGACTGCAAAGTAGGTTTGAACTGCAAGGTCAACAGTTCAAGCTCACCAGGTGCCCCTCGGAAACCTTATACAGAGTCACTATGGCACAGAACTGACTCGATGGCACTTCACAACAAGAAGAGAGATGGCAACAAACAATAGAGTGCTTCCTTCCAAAAAGCCATGTATAAGAATGTTTATAGTGTTTCAGCCATAAACTACACAATGTTTTGTGTCCTATCAAAATATGTGTCAACTTGGCTAGGCCATGATTCTCAGTGGTTTGGCTGTTATACAGTGATATAATCTGGCAGTTATATAATGATGTAATCAGCCAATCAACAATAGGGGATTAGGGTGGGGCACAACACCCTTAACAAGTCACAGTCCTTATCTGATGAAAGGGGAGTTTCCATGGGCTGTGGCCTGCATAACCTTGTTTCTTATAAAAGATAAAAGGAGAGAAATGTGAACAGAGGGAAGGACCTCAGGATCAGCAAGAAAGAAGAGCTGGGAGTGGAACATATCCTTTGGACACAGGGTCCCCGTGATGAGAACCTCCTAGACTCAGGAGAAGATTGGTGCTAAAACACCTGAAGATCTCCAAGGAATGCCGGGTCCACAGATGTTAAAAGGAGACACGAACCTTCCTCCAGAACAGAGAAAAAAAAGCCTTCCTCCTCTAGAGCTGAACCTCTAGCCTCCCATCCTGTGAGAGAACACGTTGTTAGTTGAAGCCATCCCACTGTGCTATTTCTGTTATAGGAGCACTAGATAAGACAACAGAAGAATAGATCAATAATGTGTGGAGTGGTATATTGCTGCAGTGGACTACAACATAACACTAAAAACAACCAACTACTGATACGTGCAGTGACGTGACATAGGACCTATGTTAAGTACAAGAGGCCAAACACAGAAGAGCACATACTGTGTGTTTCTCCTTTTTTTTTTTTTGCATATGTTAAGTATGGTACTTTCAAAGAAAATGAATATTTTTGTCTTAAATTTACTACTGAATCTGAACAGTTTTGCTAAGCACTGATATGGTAGAAAGAAAAGTAATCAATTGTTTATTGTTATTTTTTTTGTCATTTGGTAGCATTTTATACACAGGCTTTGATCTTCAGAATACCCTGAATTCAGCAGAAAAACCTTTAAATGAAGTTTTGCAGAATAACAACTTCTCGGCAGTCAAAACTTAGACTGTAAAAAAATATATGCAAAACATACTTTTCTGAAAACACTTAACTTTGAACAAAGGACCAAACTACACAAATACAGAATGAAAACAGCATTTCAACGCCACCAAAAGTAGTCGTCATCAAAGGTGTAAAAGTCACCTCACTTCACTAGGCACTGTTTGCTTTTTTAAACAGGAGACGATAAGAAATATTGTCCACAATCAATATCCCAACTCTAGGGCATGTTTTAGAAAGTCTTCAACTTCAAGCTTCAATAGCCGGGAGGAGAGTATGATGATATCAGGAACTTGATCTGTATACTCCATGACGTAGTAGGCAGAAGTGACTGCCCTCTGTCCAGAGCAGCTCTCCATCCTCCTCTGTCCCTGGATGATCTGCTCTAGTTTTCTATGACAGCTACGACCATCCTCTGTCATAGTAATCCTGACTGCATGAGCTGCCATAGGTAGGTCTCCCCATACAAATTCTGAGTGTTAAGAGTATGTTTTCTTTTTGTTATGGAGAAATCAAATCTAATCCTTCGACCATCAAGCTCCATTCCAATGACACTCTCTTTAACTTCCTTGGCATCATCTACATTTTCAGTATATACAAAGGCAAATCCTCCTGAACATCTAGACTGCTGGTCATATATAACAGACACATCAGCAATGGAGTCATACTCAGAGAACAGTTCTTTTAGACCTCATTCTGTGGTGTATAGACTCAACCCTCAAACTCCAAGACAACAGTTGGGATCAGGATTTGCCTGATTCCCAACATGACACTTGCTCGTAGACATCAGAGAATGACTATGTCGTCTGCGATCATCTTGAAATGTAAGACTTGTTATAGGATCATCTATGTAAATGGGACCGAGAATGTGATCTTGTGTAATACCTTCAAGAACTTATTCTGGATCTAGACTTAGATTCAAATCTGGACCTGGACTTTGATCTGGAATACCTGAAATCTTCCTTGGAATGGGATCTTGCAGGGGTATGCCTTGCAGATTTCCCAGATCCATGAGCACTTTCACTTCTGGAAGCAAAATGGGATTCTCGCTCACCATAGTTCTATTTGCAGCTGTTGCACATGACTCCTGACTACAGTTGGTGTTCCATGCACTTCAATCGAAGCTGTCAATCTCTTGGGCCTTCTTTACAGAGGCTTCATGACAGCCTTGCAGAATGCACTACTTCGAGAACTGCTCAGAGACAAAGCATTCCACATCGCCTCCGCAGAGGCTCTTGTATTTCTACTTTTATGAAATTCAAGAACAGGAAAAACAAATCTATAGAAGTAACAGAATAACGAATACCTTGTTGGGGAGATTAGTAGTAGGAAAAAGCACTAGGAACCCTTTTGGAGTGATGGAAATGTTCTATATCCAATCTTGACTTGGAGAGTAGTTATATGAGAGCATACTTAGGTAAAAGGTCACTAAAATGTATTATTTTTGCACTTTATGGTATGTAAGTCCTGGTATGGAACTGAGGGTTAATGCAAACTCGGTTAGAACTGCAAGGTTGGCGGTTCAAGCTCACCAGCTGCTCCTTGGAAACCCTATACAGGGTCACTATGGGTCAGAACCGACTCTACAGCATATAACAACAATAACAACATATGTAAGTTATATCTAAATTAAAGAAAGTAATATGAAGGCAAAACCCAAAAGACACAGTAAGAGTCATAAATGGTTGTCTCTAAGAAGCAAAAAAAAAAAAAAAAAGATTTTTTGTAACAAGCTTTTGTATTCTTTAAAATATATATGAATGTATAACTTTGATAAAAATGTACTCTACATAAACAAAGGCTCTGTGGTTAGCCTGACCTCAATTCAAATGTTAGCTCCACCACTTACTAGCTGGATGTAACAGTGGCAAGTTACGTTGCCTCTCAGTTTTCTCTTCTAAAAATACGGCCAATAGTAATCATGTGAAAAATTACTGAAATTGTGCATCTAATGTACTTACCACAGTGCCTGGCATATCATCAGTATCTGGTAACTGCTAGTTTTCTTTCAACGTACTATTTTCCTTTGCATATTTAAAAATAAACTTCACAGACTGCAGTTGAATATACATTACACCATTTGTACTGTCCTCAATTCCCCACTCCAGACATCGCAGGGCTCTCTGACCTCACTGTTTATCTATTCCATCACTGTTTTATAGGTCATTCTGCTCATTTTACCCTTTATAAAAAGAGGACTGTCTCCCTGCTTGAACCCTCTGCCTAACTTGATAATTCTCACTTTCTCTTGGTTGGCTTCAGTTTCCTCACTGAAGGAGGGTTGGAGTGAATGATCTGTAAGGTTCTTTTAGTACTAACATTTCATGGTTTCTTTTTCTCTGAAGTTTCTATTTCTGTGAAGCCTTTCCCAGACCTCATTGTGTCTCTAAAAGTGCTTGGTGAAGCACGTGATGTTGTCAAACAATAACAGATGGCATGCTGCTTACAGGGAATGAGTGGGGGAGATGCTTTTTCTCTCATTTCTCCAAGTCACAGGAACCATATGACACTAAGGAAGATTAACCTTTGCTAGGCCACAGGCATCGGAACCTGCTCTGGAGGTCTCATCTACTATGATCAGGCAAACTCTGAGGTAGCCCCTTCTTTGTTGAGTTAAGATTAGGCTTTGCACATAAGCCAATGGACACAGCTCTCCTAGATGAAGTGAGCACTTACCTGCCCAAAGTGATGAGCCAAAATAATGTCCACAACATTGGTTGTCAGGCATGTTATCTGAAAAGATAAAGACTGTGGGTCAAGGGAATAAGTGTATGGAAAAATTCATCAAGCTGTCCCCTTATGATCATTTTATTGTAGATATGTTATCAGTCAAAAACAAATCACTCAGTATCATACTTTTCTAGGAAACAGTAATTTCAGACAGACATGAGAACAAAGAAATAAGTTAGGGAAAAAAACAAAAACAAAAAACAGTCTCCTTTCCAGGAGTAATATTAGAATGCTTTGAAGCAGACAGCTTGTGGATATGCAGGCCATTCCTTCTTTGAAAACTTGAGACACACAATTCATAGCTATTTACGATTTCATTCCTGCCCATGTTTCTGTATTTGCAGTGGATTTGTGGCTGATTGGGCCAGACTTAAAACCACTCCCAAATCATCTGTGAGACCCAAAAAAAAAAAAAATTTTTTTTTTTCCATTTCTCCAGTTTTTGCTATCTTAATTTCAGGGAGTGGGAGGAAACAGCTATGTTTATAGAATGTTCTCACATTATGAACATTTTTCTCCTAATTTTTCCCATTTGAAAACGATGCTCCTCACAGAACAATAAATGCAGCAATATGTACATGTATAAACTGTTAAGTCTATTTTCAGACAAATTTCCAACTCAAATTATGTTGCTGAGTCCCCTTAAATCTTCCTTGGTTTTATGCTCAATTCGTATTGTTGACCTGAATTAGAGATGAAGTATTGAGCTTGGAGTAGGAATGGAGAAGAGGAGATCAAGGAGGCATGATAAATGGCAAAACAGGTTCACACAGTCCTAGAAAGATGAAGGAAAATGTCCAGAAATCTTCATGAGTTAGAAATTAAATAATGAGAATAGATACGCAATATCCCTTCATGTTTTAATACTCAAAAGGCTATTCTGATGTCTTAGAAGAATTTTTTATTAGAGTCATTATTGAGAATGTTTAAGTAAATTTTTACATGTCTTAGACAGTAAACAGAACTAATTATAAGAAAATGAGGCTATGAGAAAAAATCCTACAGCATCTAAAAACAGCCATGCTAATTTATATACAACGTCCAAACTAGGGTACGCATCATTTCTCCAAAACGGAAATGTGGAAAGGAATCCATTTTTAGAATCTGGTCTGCTGGTAGATGGAATATTTTAACATTTAAAAATAATTATAAAATTAATATATGATTGCACTCACTCTTTGGAACTCAGGTTTCAAAGACCAGGTCATTATGCAAAATTGGCATATGCAAAATTGCAGGCTGATGATCACATCAGATCACAAAATGCAGGATGACAACATCATTAAACATGCGCCAGACTGTACTGTAACCACCAGATTATTACATAACTATCAAATCACTGAGAGTCACGGTCCAGCCAAGGTGACACATAGTCATAACCATCACATTCATGGTTACTCTTGGCTTGCACCTCAGTGTTCGTTTCTGCAAGGTATATACATCATTAATGAGCAAAATAGTCTCACAGATTTTTCACTCTTGAGGTAAATGCAAAAAGGTAGATAATGACATAGTTGGAAGTGAGGAGCAGGTATATAATAGAAAATTAGGAAAATACAAGATGGCTTGAAAAAGTTCATGGAATAATTCCATTATCTTTTCATTCAATTTTTCTGTGAACTTTTGAGCTCACTCATATATAATATGATAAGGCAAATAAAAATCACCTGTAATGCACCCAGCCAAAGAAAACTACTAGTAACATATTATCTTCTCCTTTCCTCTTATGAATATATATATTTAACAAAATGGGGTTTTATTTTATATAGTTTCTTCCTGCTTTTAGTTGACATTATGAGAATTTTCTCATGTCCTTAAATAACCAAATAACATAAATTTTAAGGGTTGCATAGTATCCCATTTTATGGTTGTATCATAATATCCTGTATCTGTTCTGTATTAATGACACTTAGGCTGTTTCTTTCTGCCTCATCAACAATGAATGAATGCTTCTGTGAATACTCTGACTCTGTCATTTACAAGCCGTCTGATCTTAAGCAAATGACTCAGTGTCCTTGTTAGGTAATAATGATACTACTTCACTGTGTAGTCCCAAGAATGAAAAGTTTAAATATGTTTTTAAAATTTAAGAACAGTGTACAATATTTAACAAAATGTGTTAGATTAAAAAAAAAATCTTGTATCTAAAGCTTTAAAAGTATCACTAATTGTTTCAAGAAATTAAAGTCATGCACAGGCAAATCTGCTGCAAATGACCTCTTTAAGGAGTTCAACAGCAAAACTGTCACATTGAGGACTAAGGGGTTCCTAACCTAAGCCATGGTATTTTCAATTGCCTCATATGCATGTGAAAGTTGGACAATGAATAAGGAAGACTGGAGGAGAACTGATGCACTGAATTATGATGTTAGCAAAGAATGTTATATATACCATGGGTCGCCAAAAGGCCAAACAAATCTATTTTGGAAGAAGTCAGCTGGATTGCTCCTTAGAAGGGACAATAATGAGGCTTTGTCTCTTGTACTTTGGATATGGTATTAGAAAGTACCAATCCCTGGAGAAAGACATCATGCTTGGTAAAGTGGAGGGTCAGTGAAAAAAAGAGAAAGTCCCTAAGTGAGATAGATTGACAAGGTGGCAGCAACAATGGAATCAAACATAACAGTTGTGTTTCATGCTGTTGTGCACAGGGTCACTATGAGCAGAACCAACTCAACATAGACTCAGCACAGAGCCAGAGCACTTATTATAAGGCATTGTTAATAGGTAGAGAGATCAACAATAATAATTGTTTCCTTATTTTATGAAATTACTCAATCTTACGGTTTAATTATCAACAAAAATTCTTGATCTATGTGGCAAATCGGGCGTTAGTATTTTGGAGACTCCCTCTAATGATCTTAACATGAACATTTATGGCAACAAAGTATTCAGAGGCAAGCATTTGTTTAAAAATGAGATTATATTAGGTTATCTGTTACTAGTTAATGAAGGTTTAGGTTATTTTTCTGTCTGGAAAACTTTTTAACATCACTGATTAAATCTAAAACCCGATGTTGTTGCTGTTAATAATTCAAATCTCTTTAATTTCCAACCTAAAAGCAGTGAATTCTTTCTTTAGTACAGGTAAGCTCAATGTAAATGGAGTGTGTTTTTTCCCTAATTGCTTCTTCTTTCTTGTTTGGTGCAGGATTGTTTATATTTTAAAGTCATTAGTATACTCTTTAGATTCTTATGTCTTTAAACAAATTTTAGTGGTCAGATGTTTTCATTTTCAGATCACATAATCAATAATCCACATATTTTGGGAAGTACCTGCACAAATAAGCTGTTTGGGTTAACTGGAAAGAGTAATTCATTCATTCATTTCATTCCTTAAGAGACTGAAAATGCAAACCAGGCTAGGAAAAGGTATTTGTAATAATACATGTACCAACAAAGGACTCAGATGCAGACTACATTAGGAGGGGGCTTCAAAATATCAGTGGAAAAAGAGGATTAAAAAGTAATGGAATTTTCCCATGAACTTTTTAAAGCTCCCATTAAAAATCTCTTAAAGATGAGTAACAAAAGGACCAGTAAGTGTGGCACTGTAGGATAAAGCACTCAACTGCAAGGTTGGCTTGAACTGCAAGGTCAGCAGTTCAAGCCCACTAGCCACTCCTTAGAAACCCTATACAGGGTTGCTATGAGTCAAACCGACTCGATGGCACTTAACAACAACAACAACAAAGCTGATTAAAAAAGAGTCCTGGTGTTGTGCTGTAGTACCAGCACTGGACATCAAGGTTGGTTTGAACCACAAGGTTGGAGGTTCAAACCCATCAGCTGCTCCTCAGAAACCCTACATAGTGCCACTATGAGTTGGAACTGACTTGACGGCACTTAACAGCAACAACAAGCCAATTACAAAAAAAAAAAAGAAAAAGAAAAAAGCAAAGACCTATATAGGTTCTTCACTAAAAACGGTACTCAAATGACCAATGAATTTTAGAAAAAAAATCATTGTTCCATCAGGGAAATGCAAATGACAGTCAAGCATTATTTACCCAGCAACATAGCCTAAAAATTAAAAGATGGTACAATTGAAAACACTTTTATTTGTAGTGCCCAAGAGTATTTTGGTGATATGCACATATAAAAATAAACTAGTATTATAATTAAACTATCCATCTTTTTCAAAAGTTAAAGGGAATGATAACTTCAAATGTTAGTGAGGATGTGGAACAAATGAAACTTTCATATGTTGCTGGCAGCTGTGGAAATTGCTCAAACACTTTGAAAAATCTTTGGCAATCTCCACTGAAGCGAAACATACAACTACCCTATCGCCCAGCAATTTCAATCCTGGGTACAAACCCAAGAGAAACGAATGCATATGTCTACTGAAAAACATGCAAAACATAATAATCAAATAGTGGAACCTATCTTGTGTAGGTAAACAACTGACTTCTAACCAGCAATTAAAATGTACTACTATTAAACACAACATGAATGAATCTCACAGATAAAATAAATAAAAGCAGCTAGACAGAAAAGAATACTTATTCTATGACTCTAGTTATGCAAAATTTAAAAATGGTAAGTAATAAAATCAATTTATGGTATCAGAAGTCAGAAAAGTGGTTAGTACCAATTAGGAAAAAGCATAAAGGAACCTGAACTATATATACCTCAATGACAAATTTTAAAGATAGGCCATTTTGAGAAGGGACCAAGAGATGAGCCGATGAACACCTTCATCAGTGCTTACTTTGGAAGCTGCCCAGTCTATCCAGCCTTTAGCACAGGGGTCAACATTAATGAGCACAAGACCTTCCACAAGCTCTGGATGACTGAGCTGAAAGATGAGACAAAACAACAGTAAGAAAATGCCACTTCCAAGATTCTTTTTTATTAAACTGTGATTTGGGTGGAAGTTTATACAGCAAATTTGTTTTCTATTCAACCATCCATACACATTTGGTTTTGTCACACAGATTCCAAGGTTTTTCTATAAAAATAAAAAAGTACCATGGTTAATCAATTCTTTCTATGCTTAATGCCTCAGATGTGTTAAGACTTAAGTGAGGTGTTTAGAAGAAAAGATATTTGGAGAAATAACTTTTATAATCTTAGCATCTGGAAAACCAGTCTCTTAGAAACTATCAAATGCCCTTGCTTTGCAAGGATACATGGGAGAGACAAGTCTTTATTTTCTTTCTATGACAGAGGATAGTACCTGGAGTGTCTGCAGTTGCTTAGACCATGGTGGATCTTATCTGCTGGGGAAATGCCCTGGGATCTACTTGGCATAAGGGACTGCTTAGACCAGGGCTTCAAACCAGTTCTTCCTGGTCCAGTCACAGCTGATGAAGCAAAACCAGAACAGACCCGATTTTGTAAAATGAAACATTAGCCACAATGGGAAAAATTATAGCTTAACAACCTTGCTAGGAACTTAATCTTCCTTAGAAGACAGGGGCAGCATGTGTGTTACACAGCAACCAAATCCCTTGAAATGCAGAGTTGGAAAGAGCAGTGCCTCTCCCGCCAAACGTGGTGGCTGACCACACAGCTTTGAGTACGTGTTGCTCCCCACAGTCTGGACAATAATCCAGTCTACTGAAAGGGTACACTAACCTTTTCCAAGACTCCCATTCCAGGCTTTTACCTGTAATTTTTCCCATTCTGTATTGTTCTGCTTTACCCAATTTAAAAGAATTTGACTCTGCTCCAATTTCACTCCAGCGGCTATGACTGAAACAATGAACAGGGCTGAAGTTCTGGCTTAGACCTAGACCATTCTTCCCTGAGTAGGTAACAGCACCCCAAGAAGAGTATTCTATCACCTAAGAGGCACTTTTCAAGAAGTTCCTTATTGTAGGGTTTACATGAACTTTAACCCAAGAATTTGGTCTTTGTCCTTGATTTCTGAGAGGTAACGTCTAGAATCCTGGAATTTCTCCCATGATTGAAGTGTCTATGACAAGGCTTCCAGACCACACTGGAGGGCTGATGCATATAAGGATATAAGGTATTTCTTGGGTAGGGACTGGGGTAGGACTCATGGTTCAGTCAACCATGCCTACATTGAAAAAAAAAAACGCAAAAACAGTGTCAGTCAATTGTGACTCATGACAACCCCACATATGTCAGAGTAAAACTGAGTGCTGTGATCTTTCAGATCACCAGACCTCCAGGTCTTTCTTCAAACATGCTAATTTTTCAGCTAGTATCTAAGTGTTTAACAGTTTGCTTCATTCATGGACTCCTACATAATGAAGCCCAAATAATGACACCTCAGAGCTCCCTGGTTGGCAAAAGACACTGATGTGCATAGCAGGGTAGAGGGCAACTCAAAATTTGCAGCCAGCAGAACAGAAGTGACAGAATTGTGGGGACGCCAGGCTGGCAGCTAGTTGGTGTCTGAAGTCTTGGGCAGACCTGACAGTTTGGAGTCCTGTAATTTGTGAGATCTGGCCTAGCTCTGGTGGTTAGGAGGACCAAGTGCTACATGTGCAGTCAGTGTAAGAACAGAGAGGCTGAACTGATAAAATATTGATTTCATATTAACATCAGTTTGATTGACCTTTATAGTCTGGTGTCAGAGAAGTGTGATTTTGATTTCTCCTCATCCTTATTTAAAATCAAAAGGAATGTTTCTAATTCTAACTTCAAAACTCTCTAGCTTACCTTTCAATTTTTTTTTCTGATTACAGTGATTATATTCACTGAAAATTCGATAACCAGAGAAACTATTAAAAAGGCAGAAAATAAAATCTCACATATCATCTTATCAAACAGCAAACCCTGTTAATATTTTGATATATTTCCTCCCAGTTCTTTCCTATGCTTATGACAAACTTCATGTGAAACTGTATGTTAACTCTTATTTGTTAACGTTTATAAATATCTGCACAAAATTTCATCATAAGAAGACTCTAAGCCTAATTTTTTTTTTTTGGTTTACCTTATTTTTTTAAGTGTTTTATTGTGAATTATATGATAGTTTACATGGGAGAACATTAGTTTTACATTCATTCTATCATACATCGTATTGTTCAATCCCCTCCATGTATCATCAACCGACCGAAGGGTATATACCCTGCAAACCTGCCCCCTACACTATCCTCCCCCCGAGTCTTCAGCACACAGTCACTCTCCCTCTCTGGATCTCAAGTCCCCAGCTGCTCCATCGCTCCACGTCATTGTCTCTGCCTCCATCTCATCTAAGCCTAATTTTTATTGATGATGTACTGCCCTCACTTGTGGTTTTTCAGGTATTGTAAATATAGTATAAGGTTTAATACAAACAACAAAAACCCTGACACACGCTCCAAAGCAGTAGCAGGCCACTTCACACAGCAGTAGTAGCCCAGGTAGTGTCCCGAGGCCATCATGACTAATCTTCCTTGTACTTACTGCAAATCTGCTGAGGATATAAGCTCCAGCTCCAACTCCAATCCCAATGATGCCTTTCAGACTGTGAATGGGACATACCAACATTGAAAGAGTTAATTCCATTCATAGGCAGCATGGTATAGAACCTAACTTGGCTGCTAACTAGATGTGAGAATTTGGGCAAGTTTCTTTAACCTTCTGAGCCTCAGTTTCTTACCTATAAAATAAAAGATACCATCTTTCTTTTATGGTGATTTTTAAGGGTTAAGTTAAATATGATTAAAACCTGGGAGTTATCCTCAACAGCTCAGCAATTATCCAATCCATCAACAAGGTCTCTAGAGTTTACCTCAAAAATATTTTTTAAACTGTCTACTTCTCTTTATTGCCTCAACAGCATACAGTAAAGCAAGCTATCATTATCACCGCCTGCACTATTGGTTATTTTTTGGGGTTTTTTGAGTGACTATATAAAATTAATTTATTAACTTGCCTAACATAAAATTCTTAAACCTAAAATTATCATAATATAAAGTTATAAGCATATTTAAGTAGCATGCTTAGTACTTTATAACAAAATGTTTCCTTGTTCTCTGAATTAATTCCTGCCTTTTTTTATTCCAACACACACGTTTATACACATACACTCTAAAAAAAAATTATGTACTAAGGCATCAACTCAAGTAAAGTAAATCAAATCAAGACTTACTTATGATAGCATTATAGTAAACTAAGTACATTTATATATATATCAAATCAGGGTAACACTTGTAAAACTCGTTTCATACTCTAATATTTGACTTAAAAAACCCCGCTGTCACCAAGCTAATTTTAGCTCATAACAACCTTAAACAACAGAGTAGAACTTAGTACATCTCACTATTGTCCCAGCTGGACCAGGGGCTTACTATGGTAATGACTCTTTTCTTTTCCCCAAGTAAGTAAATCATTTTATTATGCAGTGGTGGAGGTGACCTTTGTATAGGGGTTTGGTTGTTAAGTTTTTTTTTTTAAGTTTTTATTGTGAATTGAGTGATAATTTACATGGGGGAACATCAGTTTTATACTCATCCTATTGTATTTGTTTCATTACAATGATTACAATCCTTTGCATGCTTCATCATTCAACAGTATTTGCTTGTATTCCCTCTGGTTGTTTTGTTTTTTTGGATGTACAAAAAAACACTCAGGAATATACAATCATTCAAACAGCCAAAGAGCACACCCTGCAAGCCTGCCCCCCAGTCACAAACACACATCTATAGTCCTCAGCTGCTCCATCTCTCCATGTCATCATTTCTGCCTCCATTTCTGGCATCACCACTTCTCTAGGTAGGGTCGCAGACTCTGCTCCCACTCTTCTCCCTTGATGGTCCCAGGGTCTTCCACTCTGGGACTGTAAGATGGACCACTCACCCCTTTTGGCCTGCACTATTGTTAGCAGTTAAATTGTTGTTACTGTTAAATGCTGTTAAGTTGGTTCCAACTCATAGTGACCCTGCTTTACAAGGAGCAGCTGGTAAGTTTGAACCACCAACCTTGTGATTCAATCTGTGGTCTACAGCGACACACCAGTGCTCCCTGACAGTCTACCAAGCCTCCCTGAATTCTTACTCCTTTCCAAACCATTCTTTTCACAATTAGAATAATCCTTTCTTTAAAACAGCTTTATTGATGTACAATTAATAGACCTAGAGAGATTATTTTAAAAGACAAAATTAGGTATCATTCTCCTATTAATACCCTTTTGATGTCTTTTCTTTGCAGCTAGAATATAACCCCAAGTTCTTACCTGATCTGCTATACCTAGGTAATTTAGTCCTTGTCTACAACAGGGCTTCAGAAAGTTTGTAGAAAGCTTCCACTATTTTTTTTTTTTTTAAGTTTTTATTGTGCATGGAGTTGATAGTTTACATGGGAGAACATCAGCGTCACACCATTGTTTCACTGCAATGATTACAATCTCCTCCGTACATCATCATTCAACAGAATTTGCTTCCATTCTATTGGGGAAGGGGGAGGACGTACACAAAAACACTCAGGAATTTATAATAATTTAAACAACCATAGGGCAGGTCAATGTGCTGGACTGCAAGGTCAGTTTGAGCTGCAAGGTTGGCTGCTCAAACCCACCAGACATTCTTCAGAAACCCTATACAGGGTCACTATAAGTTGGAACTGACTCTATGGCACATAACAATGACAACAAGTTGGAACTGACTCTATGGCACATAACAATGACAACAACTAGCCTTATCTATGTCCTTATTCTTGATCACAATACCCCTACTGTTTGTTTTGTTTTTTAAATAGCACTTGCTGTAAATTTGAATGGGAACAGAAAGTCTCATCTTTCTCTTTTAGAGCAACCTTGCAACTGTCCAGCTTGTAATCCACTATGCCACCTGGGGTCCTGTGACTGTTTGCTTACTTGCTCACTAAGACAAAAGCTCCATGAGGTGGTGACAATTCTGTTTTGCTCCCTAGCAGACCAGACTCATAGTAGCAACTTAAGAAAAACTATGTGACCCTACCTGAAGCAGGTAATAATGACCCTTAAAGTAAACGAACCTACCTTAAGTGGGTAAGAACAGAAGGCAGCATTTCAGCCAACTCATCCATTGTGGGGTACTGATACCTGAAATCCAGAAGAATATCTCTTGAATTAGAATGCAAGTATATTTCCCAATCACTAGAACAGCTAGAAAACACAAAATTCTTAGATTAAAGGAGGCGAAACAACTGTGGCATAATGTGCAATTTATTATGACTGCCATGCTAAGATGAAAACAAGTGAAACCAACCATTTCTGTATCCCAAAGAGCAGTCTCTGGGACTAGAGGAAGCCACTTGAAAGGAAAATGAAATATGGTTCTCTTTTAGGTTGTTTCCAACTTCTAACAATCATTTCAATTAGGGTCCAGTTTCAGAGCACGCCAGCAGTAACAGTCAGCTCAAGAAGTGGACTGAGATCTGCTGCTTCTATTTAGGCAGCTAAATGCAAAAGTAAACACCATTTTACTGGGCCTAGGAACAAAGTCACAAATCCTGAAATGATTTTGTTTCATTTAGACATAGGGTAACATGGTTATTTTATTGTTTGCATTTGACAATAGTTCATTATATAAATCATCTCAGCCTAAGATTATCAAATAAACACAATAACAGACCCAGACTAGAAATTCAAGAAAAGAGGGAAGCATCCAAAGAGAATCAGCGATGGGAGGGGTCTTAAGTTGACCTCTGATCTGAAGCAGGATCTGCTCCACACCTGACACAGGGAAGTCAGTTTTTCTCTGAATATTTTAAGAAATGAAGTGTCTTTGAACTACTTGTGAGCAAAATACAAAAGAAAAACTGGATCTAAATCTTGATGGATGTAAACCAATCACAGGCTAGTTAACATACACTGAGAACCAAAATAGGTTAGACATAGTCCTTAGTAGATTCTAATACCAAACTGTCTGAGTGCAATCCCAGTTCTGCTACATATTGGTTATGTAACCTTGACCAAGCTACTTGAGTTCTCCGAGCGTTACTTTCCTCACTTATAAAATGGAAAACACAGTAACCTATCCCATACAGTTGTGAGGACTACATGAGGTATTACATATAAAGTATTTAAAGCAGTATTTAGAACACTGTATAAATACTATATGTTGTTGTTAAGTACTGCAGAATTGGTTCCAACTCCAAGCAACCCTGTATTGGGTTTCCAAGGAGCGACTGGTGAGTCTGAACTGCCAAACTTGAGGTCCAGTGCTTATCCTAAAATGCCACACCAGAACTCCAAGTACTATATAAGTGTTAGTTATTATTTGTCTGCAATGGTCTATTTCATAGGAGTCACTGACCAAAGGTGCAGCATTAAGATGAGTAAAGGCAGAAGGGTCTAATTAGCATTCCACATCTTGTGCACTGACTCTTCCTCCCAAAGTCTTTGCTGCTGCAATCAGTAAGTGCTCATCCAGGAAGAATCAGGGAGACTGTGATTCCAACACGCAGAGCAGGCTTACTGCTGAGATTTCTGAGTCCAGTTAAACTACACTATTACTTGAACAAGGTAGCCTCTCAGAATAAAGGATTATACAAATTCGGATCACTAATGGAGAGGTGAGAGTGGGAAGATACTCCCAGGAAGCCCAGCAGGATCTAAGTTTAGATCTACACAGTCAGGGGTTTCAGGGAGGGATATAAAAATGACAGATTTTAGGTGAGGAAGGGGACAGATTAAATACAGAAGTGGATGCTGTAGACACTTAAGCCTTGTGTGTATAGGGAGGCAGGTCCTTTGTATGGAGAGCCTTATCTAGATATGGGAGAACATGCAGTTTTCCCAAACAGATGATACATTACAGTCTTCTCAGACTAATAAGAAAAAATATGGCATGAATGGCTAATAAGCATAACCTGTAGGTCATGATAAAATCAAGTGGGAAGGGAAGCAAGTGCTACGTCTCCTATGGACTTCAGTCATTTGCTCTTCTGAGTTCATGTCTCCCAGAAGATCTTGCTCATGGCCTTACCCTGTTGGGAAAGGGGCTGCACCTTCCTGCTGGCCTGGGGCATCCACGTGACAGACAGCAAAGTACTGGGTGATCTCTTGCATATCCTCAAAGTTAAAGAACGCATTGAAACAGGATTTATCTGCAACAGTAAAAATACCCATAAATCACAGGTTCTCCAGCTCTCCCCAGCTCTCTCTTACTTGATCAATGTCTTATCATGCTCATGTCCTCTCTCTCTCCTTTTGAATCATTGCTCCACTAAAGTGAGGTGTCTGAACAATCCATCTGCTTCAAGCTGCTCAAAAGGCCGAACACCAGATGTCTCAATAACTTCACGACAACAACCAATTCTCAATTCTACACAACAATCTACAAAGTGGAAACCAATCCTGGTGCTGCATAAAATAAGTTTAACATCAATAACACCGTCATCTCTCATTCACCTTATTCAGCCATCCAACATACAGAGACACTGACTATATCCCAAAGCCTAGTTAGAATATCTTGGGTCACTTACATTCCCCATTCAGGAATCTTTCTCTTGGCAAAACTGATGGGGTACAAGGAGGGGCTGCTGCCTCAATTTCTACTTTTTAGTATAACTGTTTTAACTACTTTAAATGCTGAGGAAGCTACAAAAGTAGCTCTGAAAACCAGAGATGCGTGGAAGAAAAAGTATTCAGACTCTGTGCCTGTGGCTTGAGTAAAAATCTTATAAAAGGAGCTCTGGTAGCGTAGTGGTTACCAATCAGGCTGCGAACCTTAAGGTCAGCAGTTCTAAACTACCAGCAGTTCCGCGGGAGAAAGCTGAGGCTTTCTGCTCCCGTAAAGATTTACAGCCTTGGAAACCCTGTACAGGGTCGCTATGAGTCGGTTCCAACTCCACGGCACATAACCACCACCACCACCTAGAAAAGTCAGGTTAAAGGTGCTAATAACAGGTTGTAGCACAAACATTTGACTAATTAATCGAAAAGCTCACATGAAAATTAAGTTCTAACTCTGGATTTTCTAACTTGAAACATGAAAAAAGCCAACATAGCACAGACTTAATAGAAAAAACTGATTTCAGTTTTACTTTTGTAACAAGTTCATCATATTCTCATCAGTCCTTTAATACATATGACATAGAAATGAGATATAATTCCAGTATCTGCCCAAGCACATTCCCTTCCACACTTTCAGGAACTTATCCTGCCATCTTAACATATACAGCAACGGGAAAGAAAGGGAAAGAGAAAGAGAGGGAAACCTCTGCTCCATTAGAATATTGGTTTTTGGCTTAATTTATTAATAGACAAATATGAAGTAATATAATAAAAAGGGAAGGCACAAAATCAAATACATACGGTTGAGGCCAATGTCATGATATGTCAAAATAACCGGTCTGTTTCCTTTCAGTATGCCTCTTATAGTTACATGGACCACACCATGAGCTGTTTCGATGTCATGTTCCTGTAACAAGAGAATGTAAGGTTTCAATAAAAACAAAATGGACTTTTCAACTGCACAAGTCTAACAATACCTGTTTGTCTACCATTTCCCACTACCTAGGCTGGTCACATCACTGAACTATAAGCACACCAGAGAGTGTTATGTTATACAGATTACTTCTATTTCTAATTATTTCCAGCTAACTATATAAATGAGAAAAATACACCTTCTTGCCCATAAAGCTCATTTAAAAGTGTAGGAAGTCAGGGATCTCCAGGGAATTCATAAGGAATTGGCCACGGGAAAGGAGACTAGTGAGTTGGGTGAGGAACCAGGTAAAAATTGAGAATGCAAAGTTAAGGACAAATCTGAGTTGGAAGAAGCAGAGCAAGAATGAACCTTAGAAGGAAAGATGGTGAGACTGTCTCATGTACTTTGGTCACATTAACAGAAGGGACGAGTTCCTGGAGAATGATATCAGGTTTGGTAGGGTAGAGGGTCAATGAAAAAGAGGAAGACTCTCAGGGATATGGACTGACACACTGGCTGCAACAATGAGCGCAAACATAACATTAATTTTGAGGATGACACAGGATTAGGCAGTGTTTCATTCTGATGTACACAGGATTACTACGAGATGGAACCAACTGGAAAGCATCTAACAACAACACAAAGCAAAGGAACTAGAAGACATGAAGAAAGTTCTGGATAAAAATTCAAAGGCTTTAGAATAACTTTAAATCATTTAACAGATACCTATTGTTCTATCTGCCTAGAATTTCTCCCCTTTCCTGGGAGCTGTCCAGGTACGTTACATGGCTTGACGGCCATGTTTGTACAATATAACCTTATGGCTATTATCTTACTGGAGTGAGGTGAACATTCGGTCCACACTGGCTCAGCACCCTTCCCTGGGAATTTGTAACTGGAATTAAGAGATTCTAGCCTATTTAGCTTCTCTTGAAACTAAAATAAACTTGAGAGCTTTTACTGATCTAATTCCTGATGCTAGCTATGTATGCACCAAAATTCTGAGCTATCCCTGGATTGCTTCCTGGTCTAGCTAGCTTGGGTGGATTTGTTCCCTGTAGCCCAAAGGATCTCAGCTAAGGCAATTAGTAAAGTTTAAGCTATAGTCAAACAAAGAACCATGCAAACCCCAGCCTCAATGACCCTGAGACCAGAATAACTAGATGGTGTCTAGCTACCACTATGCCTGCTCTAAAAGCGATTACAATAGGAGGTCCTCGACAGAGTAGGGAAATGTGGAATAAGACTCAAAACAACAAAAAAATGATCAGGTTAACTTGTCTGCTAGAGACTGGTGGAACCACCCCTGACACTCTTCAAGCCTGGAACTGAACTCACCCCTATGGCTCAACTTTCAGCCAAACAATAGGGAAGTGAACAATAACACCAGGGAGGTACTCATTCTTCAGAACACTCAACTATACAAGATCAAAAGGACAGCATCTGATCTGAGAGAAAGCTCAGAAGGCAGGAAAGGATAGAAAGAAGGACAAATGAGAACCAGGGACCACAGGGAGGAAGTAGGAAACATGATGTTACATTGTGGGGATCGCAATCAATGTTATGAAACACACTGAACTGTTGACTGGAAAACACAATCACAATGAAATCACAAATCACAATGAAAAACCATCACAATGAATTAACCAAATCACAATGAAAAAATTAAAAAAA